AGTCAGCAATAGTAACTTCTGTGACACAGACAGTTGTGCAATAGGAATGAAACTAATGTCTTTAATTCATTCCTGGGAGAGCATATGAAGCTGTCAGGCGGTAAACATGTTAGGATATAAACAGTATACTTCTATTTTGAACCAGGAACACCCTGATTCAGGTAACAACCTCTGCTTTCTGACATAGCTCACAATGAAGTCTTGAGATGGTTACAGAACACAGAGTTGAAGAAGAATCTGGCAAAACAGCACAATTCTTAAGGGCTGCAACTTGGTCACTTTGAGTCCCAAGCTAATGAACGGCATTACAAATTTATCACTAGAAATTCTGCTGACTGACATTCACTTGTGGAAAACAATAGGAAAGCCTGAAAAGGAAGCCAGTTTCTAGACCAAAATGCTGTCCATCAGAAACCCCTTTTGCTATAACATAAGCAAGGAAAAAAACTATTACACCTTTCTAAGTTTTGCTCTGATATATATAGTTAAGTAAATATCAAAAATCCTTACTCACAATGCATCACTTGCATTTAAAATATAAAATCTTAGGTAGATATCATACTTATATCATTACTATCTCACCATAAATATTCAATACATCCTCATATAAAGTAGCACACACATACATGCACATGTAGCTAGATTCTGCCCCTCTAATTCCAAAGAAAACAGCAAAGCCTGCCTTATGTATAGACATCTAAGTTTGGTTAAACTAAAGCATGGGAAAACAAGCACTGAAGCTAAGGACCTGGTAGCAGCTTCTTTGTGTTTATAGGAATACAAAGACCTCTGTAGATTGCAACTGCAGAAGGGCATCTCTTGGGAAACTTGGTCCTAAATAATTTTATTCAGTTTCCTATTTTCTAAATAATATTCTGCTGTTGTTACACAAAAGATAAACCTACCTTTTTCTGTCCATACTTTTCCTCCTTATTCTGTTTATTAAATATGGATAGCTCCTTCTCAAATGTAATCTTGCTTTTACAGAACATTGTATCATTTTTATATGGAATGACTCTTACAGGGTTTTTTTCACCAGTGAACAGGGCACATAAAATACCACAGAAATCAAAACTGGGAATATATTATAGCAGGAATAGTAATCTCCCTTCATCAGTGCTATTAAATTCTCATGCTTGGAAAATCAACTGCAAAAGTGAATCAAACTGTTTTCCCAGTCACTGTTAAGCCACTGAAATGTCAAGACCTCATGCTTCTTTCCAGCACTTTGCTTAGGACCAATACTCTCGAGTGCTACACAATAATAGTAATTCTCACAGAATTGCTGTTTCTTCCCCCAAAAGATTCTGAGTTTACATCAGTCTCCATCTGCGCGCACCAGCCTCCATACTGTAACCACAGTTTTTACACCGTACCCAGAAATTGCCAGCCATTAGACACTCTACCCCTCCCAGGGTTTCTGAGAGTCTTCATTACGCTATTAGAGGCTGAAATAACTTCCCTTCTTAATGCCTCCCTTCTCTCCCCACAGATGGCAGGAAAAAAACTGAAGAGGAGGGGAGGTTGAATCTTCTTCACATAATGTAAGAGCCCTGATGATTACCCAAGTGGAAACAAGTTGTTCACCTTACAAACACACAAACCCTTTTCCATCCACCTAAAAGCAACAAGAAACTTAAAACATCATGCATGCATGGAATCACTCCAGGGCCCCAAATTAGGCCTGATCTACGTGCATGCTGGTTTACTGCAGTGGTTAATGCTACTGCACCTACTTCCACTAAGGGATGGCTGCAGCTTGTCACTATGGTGCTCACTTTGCTGCTTTTTTCCACCATATCCCTTGCTAAAGCTGACATATAGAATTGGTCCTTGTCGGTAGCAGGGTAAGAGGGGATGGAGATGTACCCAAGGTTTTCAGAACACAGGAGTTATTTTAAGCACACTTTAAAGCCCACCCTAATAGAGCCTGACAGAGCTAACCTGGGTTACTGAGGAATATCAGCTGCTGAATCAAAGACATCGTGAGACCAAAGGGAGACGATCATTTAATGACTCTGAAATTCTCCTAATTGAACAACATAGACCACGAACGCCAGAAATGCAGTGCAAGCAAGTGAAAAAAAGAAAGCAGAAACACACAGAAAAATAGCAGTAGCATGTGCATTAGCCCAGATGGTGCATGTATGTGGACTGTACATACACTGAAACAAATTGTATCTGTTTGCTCCTGCTGTTGCACAAACCAAAGAAGGAGGTCATGTGAAATTTAAATACACAGATCATACATCTTAACATTTGCAACAGTTTTAAACATACTGTTTGCATTGATCAAACACATAAAACATTAAATTTACTGCTGAAATAGAGGAGGGCTTCCCACTTACATTTTCTAGTGTATCTTTCTAATCTACTTTAAGTTATTTGAGTTACTTGATTTCCAAAACCTTCTCTGAAAGGCTTCCCTAGAGCCCAATACAGTGCTGTCACAGTAAATATACTAAGGTTTTCAGTCCAAATTTTCAGGTTAGTTTTCTTTCCATTCTCCTGTTAAAATCCACACTTGCTTGTGTCTCTAGTTGCTTAGAGAAATCACTTAGAAATTCAGTTGCATAGTTAAAATTGTTATAACACAAACTTACCACCAAAGCATTTTAAGTAATTCAAAACCATGTTATGTAAACCTCTAGAAGTATTTAGCAGTTTGCTATGTAGATGTATGCAACTAGTTGAAAAGAAAATGTCTGGAAAATGGATTCCAGATCATGAAAAGAACAACTCACATTTGAACCTACTAAGTTCACATATACAGCTTTAGATTTTATCTAGGGGAGTGCAAAGGTGCATACACACAAGACTCAACGTTATGGAGCAAATGCAGAGCACAAATAAAAGAAAGGATACAACGGTGT